TTATACTATTATCTTATTATTTCTCTTTACTCTTTCACTTAGCAGATATCTAGAAGCATTTAAGAAGCATATAGTGTGTTCTCTCACACTCTTAACGGATTCGACAGAGCGATAAAGAAAGAAGCTCAACATATTTGGGTCAGAAAACCATGAAAATTCGATCCGAATTAGAATATGAATCGTTTAGAGTGGCAGACAGGCGCTTTAGCTGCTTCGACCATTATCTTTTAAATAAATATAATACTACTGTATAAAGCCGTCTATGATTCGCTTTCATTGGTTAATAACGCTTTCGGACTATATTAAAATGTCGTTCGGGATGAAGCGAAAAGCTCTAAGATTGCCGCAACTTCTGATCCTATTGGTTTATAGGCGTCTTTCCTTGCCAAGCAGCTAAGTCAGCAAACCAATGTCATAGATCGTTTCATACGAAACGAACAACGTCACTGACTTCTTTACATAGAACGCGTTTCAGTCAAGCAGCTATTTTATTTACTACGCCGCCATTCTGAGTGACTTTTACATACGATTCAATTCAAATTTTAGTTGGGTCCTTTTATGAGATCGAACTTCATTTAAAACTTAGAAATTTTAATTATACAAGTAGACCCCTCTATAACACGGGTTCCTATAGTTCGGATTCCTATATGACGGCGAGAAAATTGCGACAGTATCCGTACAAACATGGTAAAAAAACTCCTATAATTCGGTAAAACGTCATCGGGCAGCCGAACTACTTTCCGCCGTCCAGCGCCACGCTACGGAGAGTTTAGGCGGGTAAATTGAGTTTACTATTGTCTGTACAGTATTATATATAAATTAGGTACTGTATATATAATTATATNTCGTGTAAAGGAACTCCTAAAACGTTGTCACCGACTCCTGTCGCGACAAGATTGGTCGAATCTGGACCAATAGTGGACGAGCAGCCGAACTACTTTCCGCCGCCCAGCGCCACGCTACGGAGAGTTTAGGCGGCTAAATTGAGTGTGCTATGGTCTGTACAGCATTATATATAAATTAGGTACTGTATATATAATTATATATTAACTTAATTAATTGTAACTTTATTATAATTATATATATACTTTCCGCCGTCCAGCGCTACGCTACAGAGAGTTTAGGAGAGTAAGTTGAGTTTACTATCATCTGTACAGTATGTAAATTAGGTACTGTAAGTCTAATACAGTACTGTAATTTTATACATTTCTTGTGAAAGAAACATTTCTTATTCAACGGCCATAAAAATTATTTATATTAATGATGTCTCCAAAGGTCAACGAAGTTTTCGCAGAAAAATAACTTATCAGAAATCGCGGCCGCCGTTTGGTGCGCTGCTCCGCGACGAAAACAAGCTTAAGCAATGGCGACGTCGAAC